CAAACTTATCACCTTGCAGGGTGCAGTTGAGTAATTTTCCATATTGGGTTAAGGTTTAATCCAACTAGAGTTAACAATATTAACATAAAACCTAAGTACATAGATTTGAAGGACTATTTGACAAATAAGGATGATTTAAGGGACTAATATGCAACTACCTCATTAAAATTGGATATTTCGTGGACTTTATATATTAATATGAAGCTGGTCTGTGATGACTAGGCATCATATTAGAACACCCCATTATGCGGGGTGATCTGCATTGTAGAGAGGGCATGAAAATTACCATCATGCTCCTCATCGCTCCAACTATGTGGTTCAGAACGCCCTGCACTGTGCAGGGCGTTCTAATATGATGCGTCCTTTTTTTTAACAAAATTTTATATTGATTTAAAAGTTTATGTTATTTTTTTCTGATAAAAGTGTTCTTTTCATAGTTTTGTACAAAATAGTTAGTTTTATAAAATTTATCTAAATATGATCATGCTTTGAACTACGTATCGAGTACATGTATGCATACAATAGTGCAGGAACAATACATATCAAGCATGACTATATAATCACCAATCATCTTTGATTAATGGATAAATTTCGCATAACCCCTTCATCCATACTTGTCCTAATGAATATTTTCATCCCCATCTAGGGGTACAGATGAGGAAAGCTCATATCCATACTGTCAAAATCTAACGGAGACGTGCACGAAACAGACATGAGAAAATTAGATAAGATTGAAAAGCATATAGCTCATAGAACACAAGACAAGAGGACTCACTAATATGTTTGTTACGTCAGAATAACTAAGATTTAACTTCAGTCTATTAATCCAATAATCAAAACAACTTCAGTTGTATGATCATCATTCATTTAGATACTTCAAATATGGATCCGTATATTTTACTGTGCATATGTATTTGTAAACATATTCTATCAAATACGAACATTTTAGTACATGCCTCTATTTTCCATTATACGGGAATATGGATATATCTATTGTGCACAATTTTTTTGCACCCCTATCCATCCGTTAATTCCTCCACTCGTGAAAATTGAAGGAAGATACCTGCCCGTAAACATACAAATACGTGGCGTTGTCTTCAATTTAACCCTTTTAAACGATAGTGTTATAGAGAGCGGTGTAGATTCTATTAGAACATTCTATAAATGGGGTGATCAATACCATACCATGTATGAATAGTGTCATGGGTTCTAAATTTAAGGAAATTCATTTCCTCCCAAAAAGTTATAAAATGGACTCGATAACATGAAAATGAGTTTTATGGGTTCTATGGGTTTTCTGATTTTAGTTTAAGAGTTCCGATCTGTTTCTAACAGTTTTCCTATTTTCTTTTAATCTCCATGAATTTGATTTATGAGCTTAATGGGTTTTCTTATTTCAATTTAATGGTTTTGATCTATTTGGTTTTATGGGTTAATTTTCTTAAATTAATCCAGGGGTTTTGATCTATTTGTTGTAGACTTCCTACTTGCTATTTTGATCTACTTGATTTTTGTGGGTTCCCTTCTCCGCTTAATGAATTTGATCTATTTCGTCCTTGTTTTAATTTGTATAGCTTCTCTCTAATCTTTATGCCTGTTGGATTTAAGGTTTGATTTATTAAATTTATTGGTTTCCTTATTTTAATATCACGGGTTTGATCTATTTAATTCATGTGTTTTTCTTATATTAATTCAGGGGTTCTGAACTATTTGTTGTGGGTTTCATGTTTTCTATTTTGATCTACTTGATTTATGGGTTTCCTTCTCTACTTAATGAATTTGATCTATTTCAATTTTTTTTATGGAATCTGAAATTAAATTTGTAATCTACGATAACTTCAACCTACTCCTTATTTCTACAAGTCTTTATATACATATTCATGAGTGATGCAAAACATTATTAAGCACAACATTGTCAAGCTCTGTGCACTTTAATATCTATACATGAAGTCAGGAATGTGCATCAAAATATATACATAAAGTAAATGTGAATGGTCTATCTGACTTTCTGTGCTTCATAATTTATCTTCTTGCCTTCAATTAATTTTTAGATGCTTTTTGTAACCCCCTTACTAATAACCTTGGTTACCTCATGAACATAATACTTTTAAGTCAACGTCTCTCTCATATAAAAGCATTTTGAGGAGACATGATTTCTTTGTCCCAATATTTCATCTTGCTATATATATAAATCTTTAATTAGAGAAATCAAAAGCTCAACTTTGTTAAAACTTTATATTAGTTTTTATGGCATTCCATGTAATGTTTCTTTGAGGACCTTGATCATGCACCTTCACTGTTTTCAACCCCTTACGTGTTGCAAATCAAAATGTTTGCTGGATTTACTTTCATGATGATGCATCACGATCTTTATTCATGTTTACTAATTTTATCCATGGGTGATATTCTCTGAGAGCTTCATGTTTAATATCTATGCATAGTTTTTACTATATGATGAATCTTGCATTTGGTTGTTGCTAAAAAAAATTCGAGTCTGTATGCATAGTGTTTAATAATGAATAATGAATCTTGTGTTATAATAGACTGCTTAGATGAATGTTTAATAATAAAGAGTTGTTGGTGTTAGCTTCTTCCGTGATCACGCCAAAAACTCTCTGTACATATTTTCCTCTGTATATATCTTTATTGGCTAAATACCCGTATTGGTATTTTAATTCTACCCCATTTATCAAGAAGGTATTTTAATTAGTCAAACCTGCTTTAAGGTATTTTAATTGATTCAACTTACCAACAAGGCCATTTTTCTCGTCGGCGACCAGTAATTGATTCAACTTACCAACAAGGCCATTTTTCTCGTCGGCGACCAGTTTTCCGGCGAGAGCTCGTCACATGCGTGGCACGTGATGACTTAAACTGTTTTTCCGGCGAGAGCTCGTCACATGCGTGGCACGTGATGACTTAAACTGTTTTTTAGCTGCTGATGTGGCACGAATTTTCTGACGTGGTAGTGTTTAAAGGCGGGAATTAACCCTCTAAAAATCCCAATTCACCCAAAATAGGACAGATCCGTGTCACATTAGCAGCTAAAAAACAGTTTAAGTCATCACGTGCCACGCACGTGACGAGCTCCCGCCGAAAAACTGGTCGCCGATGAGAAAAATGACTTTGTTGGTAAGTTGAATCAATTAAAATGTTTTAAAGCATGTTTGCCTAATTAAAATATCTTCTTGGTAAATTGGGTGGAATTAAAATACCAATATAGGTATTTAGCCTATCTTTATTCGTATTTTAAACTCCTTTCCTCTGCATAATCAGCCTATTGAACGACCCATCCCCTGAATTCGTGCAGCAACAACAGAGGAGCGAGCCCGCCCGCCCGCGCGCAGCAGCGGAGCAGGCCCACTCGCTAGTAATCGATAAAAAAAAATCTCTCTGGTGGGTCCCACCTCGCTTTCCACCAGACGATCGCGGTCCCCACTGACCGCAGTCCATAGCGTTGGACCCGCACCGTACCCTCGGTCTGCATGTTATCATTCGTTCCCCATTATTTAATCTGCACACGAGGGATTACGAGATCTAGTCAAGGATTTAGTGGTACCAGGAAGCAAAGGAACATGGGTCGATCATGTAAAATAGTACCTAAATATCACGGAGTTTCTATGCTCTATCACTTATATATCATCATAATTAAGTTTCATTTTGTGGCAGGAAAATTCTATGAATTGTTTCAAAAATTGGCACGCTAATACCATTAATCAATATAAATGTGAGAATTTCCACCCGAATGTTTCTCTATGATACTTGCATGAGAGTTTTTTTACGGTTAATATTTATTGCATTTTCTATTATGTCAATCAGAATTCTTTTTCGATTCTCAATTCTACTTTAAAATAGAGCCGAGATATGTCTAATCATAAATTTAACATATATTAACTGTTAGAAAGTTATAAAATTAACAGTTTTTGAGTTATATATATGGGAATATTCATGTGAAAATTTTCACGTTCGCATGATAAAAGGTACTAACGTGCTAATTTTTTTTATTTTAATAGTTTATGATTTTTCGGCCACAAAATACAAGTTATGATATATATGCGATAGAATAGAAGGAATTGTGGTTTTCAGGTGCAATTTAGCCTAATCAAATAGAACAAAATATTCACGGCTCTGTTCGATCCCTTGTTTAGATTATAATAATAACAACATGGACATCTCATTTTATTTTATGGTTGGTTTCTTGTTGAATAAATAAGTTTTGTATATAAAATTGGTTGTGTTAATGTATTTGTTTAGATATTTATTGTTTTACACAGAGAATTTTAAGAAAAAAATTACCGGTAGATCTTGTTACTTATTTATTTTTGTTTTTGGATAAAATCATTCTGCTTGGAAACGTATTAAGCTACTAGCTTGTCCATCTAGCAAGCACCATGCCCTAGACACTTCCTCCTTTTAGATTTTATAAATTCCAGATATAACTGTCGATATGGACGAATGAGTCATAAAAAATAAACTATAAACCATAAGATTATTACATGTAGATTTTAGCAGTAGATCTTATTATTTGTTTCTTCAAAAATGGATTCTAAAAAATGATGGAATGTCAATAATAGCAAAAGTTGACAATAAAAATCTTAGGATTACAAATCAACTCTTTATATTTTTATCAGAAATAATTTCTTCAAATCCTAACACACACTGTATCCATTGAGTATCATATAATTTGATTAGATACACACCGCTCTGCTTAATAAAAAATTAGAAAGCTTAAAGGAATTTGAAAAAAAAAATCCTAAAAGAAAAGACAACGAATCAGAATCTTTAAAATCAATCAAAATCAGAAAAAGGTTTTATTAATTATATATAATTGATTGAAATTTATAATTTAATTTAAAGTACTATACATTTGTACGAATGACCATTAAAATTCAGGGGAAGAAAGCTCTCGCTCCACAGAAAGGGGAAAAAAAAAAGGAGAGTGTTCAGTTTAAAAAGCAAGATAAAATCAAAGGAACAAACTTTTTTTACCCCAGTTTAAAATGAGTGCTGCTACAGGGATCCTAAATAAGGGACTAGGGAGGACAGGTAAGGTGTCCCCCTCCGAATGCATACACTGACGTGCATCATGCATTCGGAGGCCCGAGGGGGACACCTCATCCGTCCCCCGTTGCATCCCCTTATTTAAAAGTGCATCATGTATTTAGAGGGGGACACCTCTATTACATTTTTGATTCAAAATCTGCCAAAGCTACTCTCAGCAAAAAAGAAATTTACCGTATCTGCCCCAAATATCTAACCATTCCTTTAATTCCATCCCTACCCCTCGTCAGAGAGGGCCCACGAGCGAAAAACCCGAGCATTCTACAGTGTCAGCATCGTAATTATCGTCAACGTCAGACCCAACTACGAAGGCAAGTTCAAGAGCATCAGATACCGTTTAAAAGCTCAAACCAAAAGAGAAAATGGCCGCTTTTCCCTCTTAATCTCCACTCCCTCACTAAAACCCTAACCCTAAATCTTCCGCCCCTTTTCCCGCCATGGCAGCGAGAGAGGCGACGCCGCCGCCG